GTGGTTACTTTTTTAAAAGTTAAGAAGTAGACATTAGGGCATCTGCAAATCCAACATGACCTAATTACTAAAAAAAGGCTGAAAACAGGTACATAAAGTTTCCTGCAAGGGAGGCAAATGACATCATATGTTATGATGTCACAAAAAGACAAGACTTAATATTTATGTCAGATGTAAAGACATAATTACATAACAGCATCATGATAGACATGATATTTTTAAGTCTCTGAGGCTTGCCAGAAACATACTGATAACAAATTCACACTATTCTCTTAAGCTATAGGCAGAAGGGTGGCTTTTCTCTGTTCTACCAGATCCAACACACATACTCTAGGTGTTTTGTTTTTTTAATAGTATCATATTGCAGGACTGAAAAGGCATGCCTTCTGTGTCACAACACCTGGGCCATAGAACAGCCTTCCTGCCTGAGATTGGGAGGGCCCCAGTTGTTTTAGCCTTATGGAAAGTTGTTAAAACTGGGCTTTTCTCTTGTTTGAAGCCCGGTATATGTCTTGTCTGTTTTCGTGAGGCTGCTTTTCTTTTCATATTGAATTATTTGAAATGGTTACAGGGTTTTTATATTGTTTTATATATATTATTTCCCCATCCAGAGTTAATGCATTTAAGTTGTGTGGTCATACATCTTAACTTCTGAAAGAAAGAAAGAATGCAAAGGGTTTTTTTTTAAAAAAGAGATTTGCGTAGTTCTAGTATCACTCAAGCATCGTACAAAAGTAAGGAATAAAAAAAGCTTCATAATGATATAGTCCAGTGCAGAACATACTGTAAACAGAAGCATTCAATAGTGCATTTTCCTCTTCTTTGTATTTCCCCCCTAACACTACTTCTTAGATATGATACTTTATATTTTCAGTTTTTAAAAATTCTATTTCTCTTTTATCTTCAAAACCCAGATTCTAAATATCTTCGTTTGCCTTGTTGTATAATAGATTGTATGTAAGGGAGCTGTGCCTGCTTGACTTTGGTTGCTAAGCAAGGTGATGGTTAAGTGAGTCACACCCAATTTTGCTATCTTTTTTTGCCACAGTTGTTAAGTAAATCATTGCAGTTGTTAGGTGAATCAGGTGATCATTAAATGAATCTGGCTTTCCCCATTGACTTTGCTTGTTGAAAGCCGGCTGTGAAGATTGCAAATTGCAAAGGTGTGTTCGCCAGGGCACTGCAACTATTATAAATACATGCTGGTCTCCAAGCATCCAAATTTTGATCACATAAGTCACATTTTTAGTGCTGTTGTAATTTCGAACTGTCCTTAAACGACAGGTGTTAGTCTAGGAGTACTTCTGCTGTGAATGTACATAGTCAATTTCCCCATTTCACTATATTTTCCCATGTTGGCCTCCCAATCTTGTATCCACAGCAAGGAGAGCCAGAATGTTTAAATTGTTTAGCTTTTGGAGAGATTCTCGACCCCATAGAAATTCACCAAGTGATTTATTTATTTATTTTTAGAAAATTTATATTGGCGCCTATTTGCACCTAGCAACTCAAGGCGATTTACATGAATATAAAAACATCATATATAAAAAAACAAAATGATGAAAATAATCAAATAATAAATGAATAGCCCCCCACACACCCCCATCCCAGCAACAAAAAGTCACACAAGCAATTTAATGGGCTCCATCCCGCTCTGGGTTCCCCAGGCCCGCTGGCAGAACCAGGTCTTCAGCTCCTTCCAGAAGAGTGTTAGATTTGGGGCCAGTCTAATCTCTGGTGGGAATGATGTTCCAGAGAGAGGGAGCCACCACAGAGAAGGCCCTTCTTCGGGATCTCACTATATGTATCTCCCTAGGGGATAGGACCCAGAACATTCCTTGCCTCCCTGATCTAGTGGGTCAGGTAGATGTGACCAGCAAGAGACGGTCCCTCAGATAACCTGGTCCCAAGCCATGAAAGGCTTTAAAGGTGACAACCAACACCTTGAATTGCACCGGATTTGGGGCTAATTACTATCTTTCATTCTTACTGTAAGTTGTTTAGGGGCAAACTTAGCATGGTGTTGTATAAACTATTTCTTACTCTTGTGGGGAAGCAGTCATAATTCTAATATATAAATAAACCAACAATTTGATTCATAACCTCTGCTAGCATTCAGCTGGGGAAATCACTCAAATTAAAGTACAGACAGGTTTCAGAGGTTGTTGTGTAGCACAGCGATATCCTACCTTTCTGGCTCTGTGGGCCAGCAGTGGGGAGGGGGAAAGAGGAGATGGTTTTGCACATGCTGGTTGCACAAATGCAGCTTTGTGTGCTTGCACGCTAACCCACCAGTTGTGCAACCTGGTTCCCAACACACCGTGGCCTGGGGGTATAGCACATAGTTGAAGCACGACTATGGGACTATAGCACGAACTGGGGGTATAGCACATAGTTGAAGTACTTTTACACTGGGAAAGAAGAGATACAGTGGAGAAATGTCTGAAAAGACAAATGGACTTACATAAGTCCCTTTATAAATGTTGATCCTTATTTGTTTGGATTTTCCTTATTATGGCAGTTTAAAAGTTTTATGTTTTTCAAACAATTTTTACAAGTATTCATACTTCTTGGGAAGTATTATGCTAACACAGTGTTTCATAGGATCTGGAAACAAGATTCAAGGGTTAATTCAAGGGTAATATTCTTTTATAACAACTTTTGAGATGCTTTCATTAATTTTTGTTCATGTCTTAATATTTGTGCTCTCTCTCTCTCTCTCCCTCCCTCCCTCTCTCTCTCTCTCTCTGTAAAAGATGATGACAATAAAATTGTAAAATGTGGATTTTGCATAAATGGAACTGAAGTTTCAAAGCTATTTCAGCCTAGCTTACAATCATTTGATTCCATTATTCTAAAAAAAGAATTTTCTTTCACCTTTTCATGTTGTATTTTTTAATATTTAACAATGATCTGAGTATTTATTTGAGGATTCCCTCCCCCCCAGATGATTCAGTGAGAATGAGTGAAGTTAACCGAAAATTCTTTAACAAGTGCCATAATAGATTCACTGGAGGAAATACATTTTTGGCTGTGTTTAAAAAGGGTCATAGCTTCTGTTGGTTCAGCAGATAACCAACACATAGTTAGAAGAATTAGAATTAGAATTCTTTTATTGGCCAAGTGTGATTGGACACACAAGGAATTTGTCTTGGTGCAAGTGCTCTCAGTATACATAAAAGAAGATACATTTGTCAAGAGTCAAGAATCATAAGGTACAACACTTAATAATAGTCATAGGGTATGATAAGCAATCAAATCATACTAGGAAACAATTGATATAAATTGTAAGGATAGTTCTGAAAAAGGTGAAAACTTTGCATGCAGGGTAGCCTCCTGAACATAGGCCATCATGCAAAGCCAATACATTTTATAATGATTGTTCTGTGGATAAAAACTTAGATCCCTTCCACAAACAAGATTGCTGAAATCTCACCTGCACTGTTGTTTCTCATGGTGCCGCGTGGATGCCGCATGATTAACTTTCAGTACAGCTGCTGCTCCAGAGCAAATGCTATAATTAATCAGTTTTGGTGAGCTTGCCTGAAGAGACAGAGCAACTGGTGCCCTAGTATCAAGGGAGCTTCATTTTGTCCTACCTCTTCTGGTATCTCCCATCAAGATCCCTTCATCACCTTCTCCCATTTTTAGAAGTGATCAGCAATGTGGCTTGGCTGCATTACCCATGTTACAGGATTACAGGGTAGTGCATTTTTGGAACCAATGTTTTTACTCCGTTGGACAGCTGAACAACTTTTCTATCCTCCCCTTATTCACCTCAGTCCAAGAGAACCAGCAGTGTGCACTTGCTTGGCAATATGAAATTGCGGTACAGGATAATTAGGTCAAGGCTGGTGGCCTAAGCAGAGGTGACTTCAGTCTGAGAGCTGTATGTTAAGTTGACACTCCTGGATTTGCAGAAGCATCAGTAAATGAAAAGACCTGCTTGAGGATACTAGCATTTTTTTTGGTTCTTTTTAACCTCCTTCTCTTGAGGCGATATCTCTAGGGTGGAATCTCATATCTTATTCTGTGTTTCCTGTAACTGCAAAGCAAGTTAGCATAGCTCAAGGGCCAATTGTGGGTGAGAAAAATCTGTTGTTGTTTTCTGTCATAAATAAGTTATTTTGCAGGATGGCAAGCTGTCTACTCTTGCCGTACTATAACATTTACTTCTTTTTTAATGAAACTATTCATACTACTCATTGTTCATTGTTCAGATATTTTATCTTCATTGCTGAGTTTTAACTTCCAATTCTTTATTCTTGAACAATAATTCTATACTATTACAGTATTCTATCTATACAGATAGTTCTTGACTTAAAACAATTTGTTTAGTGATCATTTGAAATTACAAGAGTTTTACGACTGGTCTCTTCACACTTAATGACTGTCTCAGCTTCCCCATTGTCATGTGATCAAAGTTCAGGCACATGGCAATTGGCATATATTTGCAACTGTTGCAGGCTTTTGTTCCTTCCTTCCTCCCGCCCTCCCTCCCCCCCTTCCTTTCTTTTTTATTGACTGCCCATCTTACCACAGGATAACTTTTTCAACTGGCTTTCAACAAGCAAAGTCAGTGGGGAAACTCAGATTCACTTAGTGACTATGTGATTCACTTAACTGCGGCGATTTGCTTAAGAACCATGGCAAAGAAGGATTTACAATTGGCCCTGACTCACTTAGCAACCGCCTTGCTTAGGAATGAAAATGCTGGTCCCAATTGTTATCTTAAGTCCAAGAGTACCAATAATGAATACAAGATTGTACTAATCTCATTAAATCTGGTTCATTTTAAAAGTTTTCCAGCGGAAATGATTTTTAATTTGAATTGTCTAAATTCAAAATTGTCTACATACAGTTGCAAAGTTCATCTGAATAGGCAATCCACTTTTAATACAATATATGAATAATGATAAGGCAACTATATACCACTGAAATGTTTGCAGGGTATGATAAGTGATTTTAAAAGATGAATGCTTTTCTCTCTTTTATTGCAGTGCCATTCAAAGAGGCTCCCACTTACTCAAACAGACGACGGAAACCTCACAGCATTTTGGCCACACCTCGCCTCTTGCTTCGGTCTAATAGCGATAACAATTTGAACGTCAATCTTCCTGACTGGTCAGCCTCCCCTTTACCCTCTTCACACCGTAGCCTTTCGCCTCACCTACTCCAACAGATGCAGAATAATCCTAATGGAACTGTGAAAACTGTGGGAAGTTACACTTCATCTTCTCGGAGCCGCTCTCCATCATTAAATAGGCTAGGAGAGGATGCAAAGCACCAGCAGCAACGGCACATTAGGTAACTATACACTGTTGGCCCTTTTAAAATGAGAATTTCACTCTTGAATTTCAGTCTCCTGTTATACCACCTCCTCTTGCCTTCTTTTTCCACACAAGTATTTGTCATCCCTCCAAAGAATACAAATAAATACTTCCTCTGACCAATGCAGTATGATGGTCGGAATTCTAATGGAACATAGGATATGGATATTAACAATAGCTTGCAAGATTCTGGGAAGCTGTTATGGAGCTAGCAAATGGTTCTTTTTGAATGTAAAGGATGAACAAGAATGAATTTGTAGCTGGTTTTCCAGACTAGCTCCCCTGGAAAATCTGATAGTCCGATACAGAGAGTTTGGGTTTAGCCCTTCTTCCACAAATTATGGATTTAGTATCTGTTCCCCTCACTGATATTATTGCTTCATGTGGAGACTCAGGAGACAGAAGGGACTTTGCTCTTTTGCAAATATGTGAATAAAGTTGCCCAAGTGAGGCTGCTTGTAAGTAGCATGTGACTTCCAAATTCTAAACTCTGTTATTAGGGATAATAAGTCTTGTTTGGGTGACATGTGTATTTAAGGGTTTCTGAAAAATGCAAGCTATTTTTGTGGGTCTCAATTTGTGTTATAATTTCAAAAATAAGGGGGAAATGAGACTTCATTATCTAGAATTGTTTCTATCTGCAGTTTTTCTATTTTTCTTGAAAGCATTATAATTGGTAGAAATGGGAAATAACTATGATTTTATAGCATATAGATGAACTTTGGAACGGACTTTGGCTCACAGTGTTGCTGGCTTATAAGGACTCACATATGCAGCCTCATTGTTCAGGTTCCAGGATAGAGCCATTAGCATATTCTGATGTCCTCACAGCAGGGCATCCATCTCTGAGTCAGCCTGGTAGGTAGTCAGATAGAGATGACCCAGCATGAAAATTAACACTCTAGTGTTAATGAAGGAAGCCTTCAAAGTGAGTGGACTGCAGGGATCCAATTGGTCTGCTGTTGGATCACATCCTTTTGTCTGATCGGGAGGTTCTGGACTTCTATGAATTGTTTTGCAATGGCTACCAGAAGGACTGGATGTTTCATTTACTAGCCTGTTGTTCTTTGGGGGTGGGGGGAGAAGGAGTTATTTATGCTATACCCATTTTGTGGAATATTGACCACAAATCGAATGGCTTCTATCAAGCTTGAGCAGTGAGTTGGACTAGAAGACCTCCAAGGTCTCTTCCAACTCTGTTGTTCTGCTAAGCTAATCAATAAATTGCAAAATGATGGGTGTGGCTTTGAAGATGCAGTTCTTTTAACAGGAATAGGTAAATTGAGGGAAGAAAATGAAGAATTATGTCAGCGGAGAAGACACTTGAGTTAGCAACAGGCGACTTTCTCTCCCAATGCAAGTATTGAATTAAAAGGAAGAAGGAAGGACCTTGGTGGAGACTCGGCACATGCTGCTTGTAGCAGCAGAAGACGTTGCCTCTGCCTTATCCAGGCAGAAGGTGGGCTGCAAAACAGTAACAAAAATATCCTTTCATGCTGGTGAGCACCCAAAATAACTGATAGCTGCACTACACCACACTGCGTTATTTTTTATGCAGGCAGCAATATTACCAGTCTAATTCTTGAAATGTGGTAAAAGGTTGGCTGCAGGGGGCAGCAATTTTTAAGGAACACACTTCCCTTCCATCTGAAGGAGGAGAAGAAAGCAGATCAATGTAGCTTCTTTAAGTTCAGTAAATGTCACAAAAGAAAGCCAATGTTACAGAAATTCATGGTGCTTTCAGTGCAAAAAAATAATAATACTGCCATTAACTGACTTTTCTCCTTAAAAATCTATCTGAAGTTTTTTTTTTTTTAATGTCTAAACTGCTAGATAGGTAGCAGATAATGCTGCATGATTTTATGCTGTTAATCGGGAGCAAATTGTTTGTTTAAAAGATAAGCTATTCTATAAGAGTGTTAAAAGATGAAATAAAACCATTCTGTTCTGCTGTCTTTCAGTGCCAATTATAATCCCAGTGCCAACAAGGACATTATATCTGCTTTGGATTATCAGGGTCATAAACGCAAACTATATAGTGCTGTACCTGGAAGAGTATTTATCGTTGTGAAGCCATATCAACCTCAAGGAGAAGGGGAAATTCATTTGCATAAAGGTGACAGGGTAAAAGGTCAGTTTCTTTTCTTTTCAGAAATTTGTGGATAGTCATGTATAAATTTTTGAAGCAGGCAACTGAACATAAAAGTCCAATCCCCATATAAAATATTCCAAACATCTGGATTTTTAGTTTATAGTTATTAAGTAAATGGGCAGATAAAAGACAGTTGATGTTTTCTTCTCCGGTCTTCAAAGAGTAGACAGGATTGCAAGATAAGATCTTCAAAATTATTACACTTAATTATTGATGTTGAAATTGATTTTATCCTGATAGTGATCACTCCTCTCTTATTGCAAGGTTATCTTATG